TGGGCATTACAGGAGAATAATGCCCTACAATTCAGTGACAATTAACCAATCAGAGCGCGCGTTATATCGGCCACAAGCCAAAGCCATATAATAATAACATTTAATACGCTTATATAGTAGCCTGTGGTGAGTGTTGGAATATTGATTGATTGATTGATCCGAGTCTGAGCACTAGCTGGGGTTGTCATATGATGTGCTCTTGAAAAAGACACTGAATTTGCACCTCTTGATATACTGTAGTAGCGGAAAATGCTCAAAATGCTGGGGGAACCTGCAGAGGACTAGCATCTCAACCAGGGAGTGTAGCTGCATACTCACGTACCTGTATCTGGTACCTATGTACTGTTGAGCCTTGCCGAAACCCAGCACCCCTGCACCACCTCACCTTTTGGTCTTGAGGACTGGAATGGACTACCCTACATTACTATCACTATAACAAGCCAAATATATCATCAATGTATGATGAAGCTTACCTGGCTCAATGGATCCCTTCAACACAGCAATGACATTGTAAATGTCTCTTCTTGTGTGGTTGTTATTGGTCTCAACTTCCACTTTCCTGGCCAAAAATAACATTAACAATAAAATTTAAGGTGTGTTATTACAGGATGGGTAGTGACTTACTGGTTAGTGTGTAGGACTCTGGATTATTGTTGACTCAGGACTATCATTGGCACTGACATTATCACTGCACTGGTATCACAGAGATCATGGGCTTGTGAAACCCGTTCAAGCTTAAATTTTTTCAGGTCTTGGTGGCTAGGCGCAGTGGCCTAATGGTTAGTGCGCTGGACTCTGGATAAAACAGTCCAGCTTGGAGCTCTGACTGACGTCACTGTCATGTGTTCTTGGACAAGAAATATGACTCAAAAAGTACTTCTCTTCTCCCAGGTGTATAAACGGGTACTGGCGATTTCAATGTTGGAGGAGGGGGAGGCTAACCCTGTGATGGACGAGCATCAAATCCAGGAAGGACTAAAAGTACTCCTGGTTACTTAATGCTACAGAAACTGGCATTAAAGCTCTGGCTGCATGGATCACCAACTACCCTGACACAGACTTACCTTGCCAAACTAAGCTGTTCACAGCCCTCTATTTTCTTGTATTTTTATTCGATCGCTGAATGCTCGGATTGCCACAGAACTGGATGCCAGCACAAAATGAGACTTGACAGGGTAGGGGGTGGGGACTGAAAAATACTTGCCTCCCTGCCCCCACCTCCACATGCTTTGCGCTCGCTTTGCTCACTTGCCTAACTATAAATTTAGCCTGACTGTATAATTTTGTTTTAATGTATTGAATCCATTTTAAAATAAAAGTAACCACAGATCTTACCAGTCTGTGTAATTATCAGAGAATCCTGGACCAGTATGATAAGTAATATCCAGCCCACCCTGCCAGTCATCAGGGGCTTTCTCTCCACCCAGCAGCCTATTAATAATAAAAATGTATCACGTAAACTGGTAAACAAATGCGCCATTAATAAATCTGTGTGATAAAGCATGACAAATTTTGAAATTTCTTTGAACAAGCAGTGTTGATGATGTACTAGGGTCAAGATGGAAGGGGGAAAGGGGTGTTATAAGGAGGGATATATTGAACAATTCTACATTCCATGTGGACAAGGCCTGTGTTCAAAATAAACTTAATATGAGGACACTTTCATCCTGACTACCCATAAATGCACTTGCTTATTAACTCTTTTCATGACTGATTTGTGATCTCTCAAGCTTGTCATACATTTTCTTAATGCTTAATATTTTCAATTCTTTAAATTTAGTGGTACATATACTCAATATCCTGTACACTGAAGCATGATATCTCTATTCTGGGTTGTTTTGTAAGGCTGTCACAATGTTTTGAGTCACCTGTTGCTGCAATCTTCACACCCCCAACAAACCTCGCACACATAATTTGTGGGTGAATGGTATTAACAACAGGCAAGTTCATCCATAACATCAAGACACCATCAAGCATACTCAGCCGTAACATGAGTAACGGGATATGACCCTTAATGACAGCGTTGTGTTTGAAATTGATGTTATGGCGAGCTGAGGAAATTGATTCTTTAATGATCATCACAATTTGTTTCATTGATTTTATAATTTAATCATCACTTTTGATATCTAACCTCAGAAACTGTTCTGCATCTTCAGCTGAAATTGGATGAGCTGGAATGTAAGGCATCTTGATTTCAGCTGAACTTTTCCTAAATACACCATCTATGTAAAGAAACACAGTACTGTCAGGCACTGACAGTTATGCATCGACTGCTCGTTATGGAAAAACAAACAGGCACCTTTAGCTTTGCGCAACTGTCAATCCCAAGCTGGTTCTCTCTTTTAATAGGTTTCACCTTTGTACAAATCATTTCCTCACAAACAGACAACTATTATTAATAATAATTAATAATAATTATTGATTTCCAGCCAGTTAATTAGAATCAAGAATATAAAACTGAAAAATAATTACTAATCACATCCCAACAAATTTACCTCCTATGGGAATATTTTGACAGGTAACTATTATAAATTTAATAAATACAATAATACTAACAATGAACCCTGCAAGTGAATATCCTTGGAACAAAAAAAAAATGGCCACTTAGGATCTCAAGATACTTCTTTTAGGTATGAGTACACACCATAACAAAGTGTCCGCTTAAAGAGGTATCTGACTACAAGAGGTCTCCATTTGATGACAGAGGTTTGACGAAATTTCAGAAATCAGCTGAATATAAGTTTTGGAAACTGAAGTGATAGACACTGGATAAAAAAAACACCCCGTAGGGGTTTCCATACCTCTTGATTTGGGTGTGGCCAAGGGAAGGGATTTTTTAACATAAACCTATCCCAATCACTGATTTACACATTGATCAGCACCTTTAGAAGGATATCTTGGAGTCAAGGGGTCACCAGTTCCAATCAGGATTGATCCACGCTGTACTCCTGACCGAGGAAGCCACCAGCCATGGGGATAAAGATCTTCATTTGGTACAGGTGCAAAATCTTGTGGGTCATTGTATATCAAAATGGCTTTTGCTCCAAAATTCTGTGCATTAGTCACCTGAAATTATAGCGCTGCTGTAATTGATGAAGGTAGGGTATTGCATTACTCTGTTGTGCTAAAGTGGCCCTCCCATTCAGAGTGTATCCTGTTTCCATAGGGAGAAGGATTATTGACACTTCTGCTGGATGGGATGCCAGTCAACCAGTTCAAATACATATCTGAACCCCACCCCTGAGGGAAACACAGTGGCTTCATGGTTAGAGTGCTTGATTTCAGATCGAGTGGTCTGAGTTCGAGCCCTGGCTGGGATCAAAGTTTTGTGTTCTTGAGCAAGACACCAGCTCTCACAGTGCCTTTCTCCACCCAGAAGTACAAATGGGCACTGGCAAACTTAATGCTGGGGATAATGCTACAATGGACTGGCATGCCATCCAGGGTGGAGTAGAAATACTCCTAGTTGCTTCATGCTATAGAAACCGGGATAAGCTCCGTCCGGTCCACTTGGCTTGTACGCAGACTTAACCTACCCCACCCCTGACAGGGTTAGTTTGCCCATAGCAGTTTGACTTAGTTTATGCTTACATATTCCTGGTTCGAGAGAAACACTGTGAGTATGAGTATGCCAACACAAAAAATCTGATATTTCAGACTTTTTGGATCT